AAAAAAAAAACAAAAACAAGAATAAAGGAATATTATTCTGTCATTCAAGAACATATCTCGAATATTCTGTCATTCAGGGAGATATCTCAAATATTCTATCATTCAGGGAGATATCTCGAATATCCTGTCATTCAGGAAGATATCGCAAATATCCTATCATTCAGGGAAATATTTTCACCTGATAATTTGCAACATTCATAGATTAATTTCATTTTTAACATCGATGACACGGTGGACATGGAATAAAACAACAACAGCAATCTGTATCAAAATGTTCACCAATAAAACATCCACAACATAATGCAATTAATGCCATTAACCATCCGGAACAACCGGAATATCTTGGTCTTTCACTAAAATACACAAAAATTATTTACATACAAAATATTTGTGAATTAAAAAAAAAAACAACCATAATGTTAATGAAAATTTTAAAAACTTTACTTTTTATTTGTTTATTTTTGTATTTACTTTTTTAGTTTATTTATTTTTTTGTTATTATTTAAAATTTCCACGTTTTTATATTTATTTTTATTTTGCTTTTTTTTTTGATTGAAAATATTTCCGTAAATCAAATGTCATTTTAATTTTAGCATCAATTGATGATAAATTATTCAAATTTCAATCTAATCAAGAAATAGAATTCATTTTAATCTTTACAATAATGTTTGCAAAATTTTAAATTATTTTATGTAAATGAAGCAAAATTTACTGATAACATGGTTGTGGACAGTAATAGCCTGGAGCTGGTGAACATGGATAACATTGTCCTGCCGGATATGGTCCATATGGTTGACCGTAAAAAGTATGCTGTGAAAAAAAATTAATCATATTGAATGATGTGTTGTAATTACGGTAGCAGTACAAATACTGTAGTAATGATTTTTGATAATTTTTGAATTTTCCTATGAATTATTTCTTTTGTTATGTATGATTTCGTTTAATTTCAAGAGATTAGAATACATCTTAAATTTTCCGTTTTAAATTTTAAATTTATAAAAAGAATAATAAAATTCAGTTGGCTTTAAGGTATGCATAAATACAATGAATTTTAGTGAAAACGAAAAATTTTTTTAAAAAAAAATGGTTTGATGAAAAATAAAAATCACAATTAAAATACAATTTTTTTTTCTACTAATAATTGACTAACTTTATTTTTAACTTAAAAATGGTAAAATCTAATAAATTAAATGAAAAGTATAATCCATACTCGTCCATACCCGCTGAAATAATATCTAAAAATAATATTATCTAATTTAAATAGTATTAAATGATATTGCTTATTTGAAATGATATTATGCTGGAATAATATTACTTAATTGAAATAATATTAAATCATACTACTTATTCGAAATAATATTGCTCATTTTTGTTAGCACAAAAAGTTTTTCATTTTTGTTTTTACAATTTTTTTATTTAAACAAAATGAAAAAGTGCAAAAAAAGCAAATTCACCAAGAATTTTTCAAATTAATTGCATAGAAAAAAATGTTGAAATGAAAATGAAACTAAAAAATGTGAAAACTGAAAGATTATAACAAAAGTATATCGAAATGAATAAAAATAAATTTTAGAAATTTTATTTCCAAAAAAAAATTTTAATTTAAAAAAAAAAAAGAATTCAAAAACAAAACAAAATTTACCATTGTTCGTTGAACAACGAAACTTGTGTTGTGTGGTAACAGTAATAATAATAATAATAATAATAATAATAATAATAATAATGATAGTAATAATAATAATAATAACAATAATGGTAATAACGATAAAAGCTACAATTATTAGTATTACAAGAAGGGACAAGCTTTGGATGACAAAATTCGTCCAACTTCTCTCTCTTTCTCTTTGTTACTTTCTTTCCCTCACTTTCTCCATCCTATTTTCTGCGATGACCTGTCAACCGGTCTTGTCAAGTTGATTTCAAAATTTTCAGTTGTGGAAGAAATCAATAAACATTATTGTGACTCGTGACATCCTACAATATGATTGATGCTATTTAACGAAAGTCACTGCAGCATTCCAAAATCAACAATTATG